TTCTATGCCGTTAAACTATGAACCCTCCTGGCCTAGTCTCCTGACAAGGCACTCCCGAAACTTTTGCCTAAAGGGTTTAGGGTTCAGGCTAACCGATTATAGACTATGGTTTCTGCTCCTAATCATGTTGATAACGATAGCAATAATCGTCATGGTATTGCTCATGACAAAACCCTCGCGCTATCTTGCGTCGGAAGCACCGAACCCTGCATCCCAGGTTCAATCACTACAACACTGATCCGCTGCCTGCGAGCGCACAGCCCCTTGCCAGACCACATTGCTCGAGAGTCTCAAACCTCGGTTTAGGGTTTCATATACAGGGGCCTTAATATTTAGGATAGGGTTTCGGGGGTATATTATGCTATAATTCCAATAAGGAATAAGGAACCCCCCACAACCCTATTCGAATTATTGCGGCCCCTACATTAGGGGGCGTATGGCCTTGCTAGAGGGCTTGAGGCTTCAATATAGGTGCCCGAATGATTACCAAGACTCTTCCCTATCCTAAACCCTAAACCCTACAAACACCAGACCCTAAACCCTTCGAGTTCCTTTTCTGCTAATTGCAGCACCCATTCAAACCCACAAGGCCGCCCGTGTTGGGGCTTTTCGCGCTTTGGGGCTTGGCCTTCCGGTGCGTTTCAGGCTCGAGGGTGGGTTTTAAGAATTTGGTGACCCTAACTTATGGTTTCAGGGCTTATAAGGGTTTAGAAGAGACCGTAACTAATTCTGAGTCCGACTTGCCTTCCTTGCCTTCCAAGTGTCTCTTGAACGGGTCGAGTACCAGAATTCTATGCTTGGGGTTCGAGGTCTTTGGCCCTGAGCTCACCACGCCAAAGCCTTCAGAACCTGTCAGGAACCCACTGGCAACCGCATAAAGCCTTGCGATGTTTTGAGTTCAACCGGGTGGTTTCGAGATTACTGAGTCTACCCAGGTTGCTTCAAAAGTCCTTTCATCCTCTTGAAATCCGCAGAACGCAGGAGCAGGATTACTGCTTCTGCCGCCCCTCCTCAACCTCCTCCTCCTCCTCCTCCTCCTACTACTACTACTACTACTACTGCTACTACTACTGCTTCTCCTGCTTCTGCCGCTGCCGCGACCCCTTGCAATGCTGGTGAAATAGGTTGCTGCCTGCCAGCAAGGAGACGTGCACGCCTGGACCGGGCCTTCGTGGAACACCTGGCTAGGACAGACTCTGGGGAGTTCAGATTTGAGGGTTTCCTGTTCGGGCCGAGTACGTACCAGTAATGTAGAGGCTAGTTTGGGGGGGCTCCTTATTATAATGGGCCCCAAAACCCTATTCTAATTGCTAAGGCCCCTATATGATGCTTATCATTGAGGCTCTCCGGCTCAACCACTTAAGCCAGAAATCAAGACTTTCAGCTATTGCCGGTGTCATCCTTCCACCCCAGGTCCCAAGGCAGGCAGCCCCAAACCGAATCTGATCAGGATTGCGCAGGAGAGAGACCTACGACCCATGGGCGACGTGCATTTTGGACTGCAGCAGGATCTAGAGATGTAACATATAAGCCTGATTACTTTACCATATCATTCCTCGGGGCTCCTTATTATAATTCTGCAATAACATTTACCGGAAAGCCCAAGTTACTAAGGCCCCTATAGCGGAAGCCCATATGGTCGTCTCATGAGTTCCCTATAGATATGCCTTATAGACTTTCTTTCAGGAGCTCACATGTAATTGCAAGCCTTCGAAAGCTTGTTCGGAGCCTTTCTAGCCTTTTCCAAAGCTCGTGAGCTCAAGGCGAAAGGGGGCAAGAACTTTATCTACAGGCTTTGCAGTAGGGTTTAGGGGGCCAGGTGCTGGGAAATATAGTGGCCTGAATAACTAGAGCGAAGGGATCCCGTTAGTATGTGTTAGTGACCATATACGGTTCTAAATAACACTGAGCCCTCGACCATAAACAAGATCCGGGCGCAATCCTTAAATCCTAAACTAAACCAGGGTTACCTAGAAGCATACAACCTGTACAAACATCCCAAACCCTAAAACCCTAAACCCCAAAACCCTAAACCCTAAACCTTAAACCCTAAACCCTAAAACTTTATCAAGCCCTGACAAAGACCAAGACCCCCGAATCTGCTTTTGTAGCTTCTACCAAGCTCTTATCAAGCCTGTACTATCTGTGAGAAAGGCTCTTGTTTGAGAGGACACTCTGGTCGAAGCCCTGAGCTGGCAAAAGGGTTTTGCTTGCACAGATCGGCTTAGGTCTGCTGGAGCCTCTTCTGAAGTCCCCGTTAGATACCTTAATCTTAACTTAACAGCTTATTTAAACCCTGAACTCTAAACCCTCAACCCTGAGCCAACGCTTTACGGCAATCCCCAAACTCCAAGAACCCTGCACCCAAAGCATCTCGCCGAGGTCCATGGAGCTTCAGCCCTTACGGCAAAGTATGGGGTTTAGGGTTTAGGGTTTGTAGGGCTTTTATGGTTTGCGGCTTAGGGCTTGTAGGGTGTTCAAGTATAGGCTTTAGGGTATAGGGACTCTGAACCCGAGAAAACCCTAAACCCTAAAACCCTATAAACCCTAAACTCTATAAGCTATAAACCCTATAAACCCTAAACCCTATAAACCCTGTAAGCCCTAAACCGTGGCTAAGCACGCCGGGCTCAGAGGTCGGAGGAACTTCAGATCTTTCGCTTGAAGCTCCATGACCGACAAGCCCGGCGCAGGCATCGGCGTTCAGGGGTCCTAGGGTTTAGGTGGAGGTTTTGGGTTTAGGGGCTCGGGGCTTATAGGGTCTATAGGGTTTAGGTATGGCTTAGGTGTTTATGGGGTTTGGGTGACAAGGCTTTTGGGGCTTGTAGAATCAATCCCCCATATTAGGATATCAGGGTTTGGGGCAAGGATCCATCATCATGGGCCATCTGTCGGGCATCAGTGTCTAGAGCATTCTGACGCTAGGGCTGAGATTATAGGAACAAAAACGGCTCGGAGTCGGGTTCTAGTCGGGTTTAGGGTTTAGGGTCCAGGAGGGTGCTTGAGGGGTTTATCTGCAATCTACAGGGCTTTGGCATGTTTTTAGGCGTTTAAGAAGTTTACGGTTCGGGGTTGAGAATTTAAGGGGCCGGGCCGAGCATATGGGTTGGATGTTACGGGTTATGACAGGACGGTTAGGATGTTAGGTACCGGTATGCATGGCGCTGGGCTTTGTGTATGCTTCTGGATTTGGGGCTTAAGAACATGGGGTTATGAGCTTGGGGCTTCGGGTTTAGAGTTTGCGTCTCAGGTCGTGTTTAGCTTTTAAGCCTGCAGGCCTTGGGCTCCAAAGCCAATTAAGGCACCTCAGGCTATTCAGCTACACGCTGAGCTGCTAAAGCTGTAGGCCTTGAAGCCCAACAAATCGACTGAAGGCTTCACCGAAACCAGAACCCCTAACCCGAGACCCTACACCCTAAACCCTGAACCGTATAACGGTTCGACGCTAAACCCCACGATCTAAAACACCAAGCCGTCAGCTCCGACTCCCAAACCCTAAAGGCTGGGGACCCTAACTTCCCCGAATCTCAAAACCCGAAGCCTTGAGCCCCAAAACTTCAGAACCCCTGAGCCCCAAGGCCCCAAGCTCCGATCAAGAAGCCACCCCTACCCAGAGGGTCATTTAGTGGGGCTTTAGGCCCCGAAGTCCATACTCTGTAGAGTTTTCGAAACCTTGAAACCCTCTTGGACCCTTCGGGCTAAGCTACTGAGCCCCGAACCTCTCAGTCTCCACCACCCCATGGCCCAACCTCGAGAGCTCAACCAGTAGATGTCTTGCGTAGTCCCCAAACCCCCAAAGCCCTAAGCCC